GTGATGACGTCAAATGTGCGCTTTCGTCGAGCGCGATTTTGTACTCCGCGGTTTTGTGGTGGAACCCTTCCCTACAATTCATTAAAACTCTCTTCCTTTTTTCTGGCTTCCACCCAAGCCTGGGATTCGTGTAACGTTTTATTAAATTTAATAAGTTAAATCTTTAAAGCAGCAGTAGCCCCTTGGACAGAAACTTTGGGAGGAGGGGGGGAACCATGAGATAAAGAGAAAAAGAGAAAAACATTGGGCTGAAAATCATTTCATCCAATCTTTCATCCACTCTCTCGGCCTTCCGGGAAGCCATTAAAACCTGGCTGTTCCGGCAGGCCTGGGGCTGTTGACCCCAAAATACGGTCCAGCCCCATTTAGAACGGAGTGCATGGTGTGTTTTTTAAATCTATCTTTTCTTTCCTTCTATTTTATTTTTTTTTCTCTTTTTCTCTTGATTTATTCTGTACTGTAAGCCGCCCGAAGTCCTACGGGATTGGGCGGCATATAAATGTTATTAAACTTAAACTTCATCCAAATTATTTTGAAATATAGTGAGTTTGGTGTTTTTCAAAAAATATACTTACGATGCCTTTAATTCCCTGGAATTTAAATAAGCTTCTATATTTTAATTAATGTACTTAAAACAGTTTAAACGTATTGAATGATACCGATGGAAAGATATAAATAGAATAGGAAAAGTACCCTGTTTTCCCGAAAATAAGACCTCCCCGGATAATAAGCCCAATCGGGCTTTTGAGCGCATGCGCTAAAATAAGCTCTCCCCAAAAAATAAGCCCTCCCCATGAGGTAACCACGCTCGCCGCCTCCTGCACCTCAAAAATAATAAAGCGTCCCCGAAAATAAGGCCAAGCAGTTATTTCAGGGGTCAAAAGAAAATAAGACCCTGTCTTGTTTTCGGAGAAACATGGTAGCCAAAGGGAATTAATTTAAACCTAGTGGCATCTGAAACCAGATTTATGCTGCTACGCTTTTATCCTTTTAGTGTGGAATATTATACACTGCTGTATAATTCATATTTTTGTTTCATTTTAAAGGAAGCAAAGTGGTCATGTTGCATTTAGCAAGTATTTCACGCCGTCCTTCAACGAAACTAACTTCCATGGCTTCGTGTAAATCTAGTGTAAATTCCTTCAAGTTAATCCAAGGAAATCTGCTTCATCTTCTCTGCTAGCGCCTGCCTCATCACAATATGTTTTTTCAAGTTTTGCACTTCATGCGGCAGATTCACATCCCAGATAGACACAGAAGACGGTATCCCTGTGAAGAAAATCATTTAAAAATAATCACCGAAGATGCTACAAACACAAAACAGTTGACAGTTTTTGCATTTGCTGTCTTTCAAAAACAGAAGCCAAAATAGAGAAGTAGGCCAGGACCTACAAATACTGTTTGAAATCATCGTTGGAATATATTTCTATGCAACAACTGCAGTAGTATTCAGTGAGTAGATGGCAGTATTTACAAGTTTGGATCTATGGTACATGCTCTATGCTCTTCTGTTATAAGTTGTTCCCTGTTGTCCTGTTATAGTTAAAATAGTTGAGCAGTAAAGCACATGGTGACTGTGCTTTGCTTGTTCTCTGTGGTGCTATATATAAACAGAATTTCTAACAAAGGGACAAGAAAGGAGAAAGGGAAAGACAAAGATGGGAATAGAGCAAGGAAGGAAAAATAAGGAAAGAGGGGAAGGAAGGAGAAAGGAGAATGAAAATGAATGGAAGGAAGGAAGGAAGGAAGGAAGGAAGGAAGGTAGGTAGGTAGGTAGGTTATAATGAGTGTGAGAGGATCTCAGGGAAGTCCTGCCTTAGCACTTGGCCACCGCAGATGCCCCCGATACGAGTCCTGTGTCACGCCATGGCCACGCCCACCTACCT